GGCGGCGTTCCCCGCCGCGCTGGCCCCGGCCGCTGGCCCTGGCCGCTGGCGTTTGCCAACTTCCTTCTCTTTCATCATCTGCCTCTGTCTCCCTGGCTGATGCAAGGTGTTCTGTTTCATAAACCGTGTTATTGTTGTTTTAACTGTTCTGGCGCGGTGCCGCTCTCTGTTGCAGGTGTGTGAGAGGAGCAGCGGGTGCTGAGCAGCGAGCGCCCGGCTCCGGGCGGGGGTTGGCTTTTAGATGCCACATTTGCCTTGTTGGAAATCCTAGCAAGGAAACAGTCTTTAGGGGTTGCTAAATATATTCACGACCAAGAATGTTACTTTAGGGAAGAAATTATGCTGCTTGGTAGCAGCAATAGACTTGTATGAAAACCCTGAGGTATAATACCACTGTAACGTGTTTTTGTTTCTGCTGTGCAACAGAGAAGCTACTGTAGAAGAGAACTGTGAGTTTTTGCTTGGAATGACAGCACAGCAAACTGAAGAACACTGATTCCTATTGGTGCCTTGTTATTCATCTTTGTCAACAGTTAGGCTTTTTTTTTTTTTCTAGTTTAGCAAATCTACTTTGAAGATGGAAGAGCTTAAGGGTTTGTTTAGACTGGAATGGTTATTGTTTCTGAGACTGGTATTTATTCTGCTTCACAGTGGATAAATAGGATGTTGTATCTCGTGTTTATTTTTATGTAGATACACGTAGGATAACTTTGTGTTACGTTATCACCAATACATACAACTGTAAACTTTTACACCTTATGCTTCTGGTTTGTGTTTCACTAAGGTTAGAAAAGTAGTTCACACTTATGATTCCCTGACCCCTCCTCCCCCTCCAACCCCCATGAACAAAAGTACATAGAGGTTGAATTCTGAATATAATGGATATTTATTTTGTCTAGATAGAAATTTAGAAGGTGATGTTACTGAAAGCATAGGACACTTATGGGCCTAGCTAAACTAGCTCTGCAGTTTTAACTGGAGTATGGAAGAACTTGAACTGTAACTTTCTTTTGAAAACTGGTGGCAATAAAGGTATTTACTGAGAAGCCAAACCAGTGAAGCTGTGTGTGTGGGGGGTGAGTTTTTCTTTTTTTCAATCTTTCCTTCTGGCTTGGCCTGACATACAGAAGATGTGGAATACGCTACTGTGTCCCCCAGTTATCCCTGCTGTTACTGGACTAGAACCCATTAGCATCTTCTTGGTTCATTTGGAATTTTGCAGACTTCGTGTCTGTTTAATTCCAGCCCAAAGCTACTTTTTTTTTTTTTTTTAATAGCTTGCATTGAGGAAGACAGTGCCAACCATATCCAGCACCTTTGGGTGGGTAGGAAAAGCCTCCTGGTTCTTAGTGGGTCTTTGTCATTTGGTGGTGGAGAATACAAGCTGGCGAAGGTTTTGTGAGTAGGTCAGTTTAGCCATTGGGCTCAGATTAGTCTTCGGTATTTCGCTTTCCTTAAGGGACTGGATTTGACCTCAGATTTAGTTATGACTATGTTTGTTTTATTAATTTTTTACAGAAATAAGGTGTTTACTGTAGCTGATTGAAACTTAGGAACCCTAGGTATTTTTTTATTAAAGCTTTTTAAGCTGTTCGGGTCTTTTAGAGCTAACTAATTATAATTAATAAAATGCTTTACTTTTGATAACTGTTTAAGTCATGTATGTTTGCTGAATGTGCTTGTAGGAATGTAGTGACCCTGGAGATGCCCTTCAGTCTGATGCCGTGCTATTTATCTATCATAATTTTGAGAAATTTAGCAGTTCTAGCCGTAAACCTCAATGATTTTGTAATTATTATTTTTTATTCTGTTCTTTTTCTTGATATTAAAAACTTTTCTATTTTGGAGTTTGATCACCTCTATGCGGTTAAATATGCAGTATTAGTATAATATTCTGGTTGAATACAAGATAAGTAACTTCTAAGTCAAGGCCATTTATCAAGGCCAACAAATAATAGAAAATGATGACTGTCTGCTTGTTATTCTCATTTGTTTTTTTAATATTTTTTGGTTGTGCCGATACACACGTAGATAGGTCCTGAAGTTTTTATTTGGGAAGGGAAGACATGCTTAATGCTCCATGGAGCCTGAAGCCATGGTTGTGTGTTCAGTAGAACTGGTTTTATGCAGTGCTCAATCACCTGTCCGTCTGTGATCTGGATGGAGAGGAAGAACATGATAGCATTTATATTGAGTTAGCCAGAGCTCATGAGGAAATGCTGAGTTAGCTAGAGGAAGACAGATGTTACAATGCCCAGCAGAGTCTGCTGTTAAAACTTGCCCTTTCAAAATTTGTAAATGCACTTGTATCAACAGATTTTTTTGGGGGGGGGGGGGGGGGGGGGGCACTGAGATGCACTAAAACTGGTATTGCCATGTTATGAAGCCACAGCCTGAATTTCTTCCACAGTGGAGATCAGACTCACTAGTGAGGACTGACTAGCCGCCTGTACTATATTTGCCCCAAACTGTGTTTTTTGTGGTTACGCAAAAGGCTTGGTTTTCAATTACAATAAATTTGTTACTTCTAGGATTGCTCTAGTCACTGGACTGTTCAATAATTAAATGGAAATGTTTTTATACTGAAGAGAATTGTTAAAAGATAATTTCAGATCACCAATACAGTTTTTGCTATGTAGCCAGCAATGTTTCTGATAGGTGGCAAGTTCTGGTGCTGGTGGTTACCTTCCTCTGAAAGGAATGCTGCTGCTGAATGCCTGGTCAAATTCAAAATAATTTAATGACAGCAAGCAGATGTTGGTATCTCATGAGAACTCTGAAACACGGTCCTTGCCATTTGGGCATTTGTTATTTTGGTAACTGAAGAAGTATGACTTGAAAAAACCAATGATTTAAAAAAAATGACGGAATATAGTATGATTTTAAAAAAAACAAAACAAAACCCAACCAAAAAGCCCCAAAACAAAACGTCCCCCCAACCCTGATGTTCCCTAGCTGAGATTCCAGGAAAAGTACTAATGAAGGAAGAAAAAGATCTAAAGGAAAATGACAACCATAATTAAAGTAGGGCTTTATGATAAATGGAAATCCAGTTTTTCTGCAAGTTTGATACCCAAGTTGATTGTTAGTGAATATTTTTGCTTTATAAACTGTGGTTGTGATTGTCACCACTGCCTTTTTTACAGAGGAACCCCGAATATACTAGTTGAAGTTGATGAGGAAGAAATTAGAAAAACATACGCTAACTACCATAATGCAGAGATATGAGATAAATGTTTTCTGTATTTTATAAGAAACCTAAATGGAATTGGAAGTTTCGTATTTCGTTGTGCAAATTTCTAGCTACACTGGCATTAGATGTTCTAATTCAAGGTTTGGGTATATTTTCTGTGTTAACAAATTGGGAGTAAAGACAGGATTGATGATAAAGCAGAGAGCAAATAAATTTCAACAAATAGCTGCTTTTCTCTGTGTTCTTGCTGGAAGTAACTAGGTGTGGGAAATAAAGCAGATGTCTGAAGTTCTCAGAACTCTCTGCTTTGTCAGTATAATTTCCATTTTATAGATGGTGTAGGTATTGAACCATGATTTCTTTTGCTGTTTTATTCCATTGGATGCATAATGTAACACAATTGGTTGGAATTTGTTCTAATTTGGGGATTTTTTTTTTTCCCCCAAGATAGATCTATAGTAAATTTTATTTAACAACTTAATAATTTTTTATTTTAAGGAACAAGAAATGCATTAAATTTCTTTTTGAAGTCTTTCTGTTAGTTAAGAACTTTAAAAAATAATCTGAATGTGTAACAATAATGAATACTCTGTGTTCCTGGTACAGGATAAAAAATAAACAGGCAGCTGCAGCCACACAGCTCTTTTCTGAAAATAACTACCAAAGTCATCCAGTAGTATTGTAGCAAGTAAAATTTGTCCTTCGAGGTTTTTTTGTTCTGTTTTTGTACTTACCAGGTACTCTCTCAATTTTCTCCAGAATCAGTGTATTTGAGAGGAGTGAAAGAAACTTGAAACATTGTTTTGCCCAGTAGTTGAAGAGAATTAGTTCCAAAAGATCCTGATTTGTGTCTTCTCACAAAAAAACCACAGTGTTTTTCTTGAATAACCTGTAGTTCCTGTCCATGTAACAATTTAGACATGACTTCACTAAATGAAACACGTCT